GGATCAGCACAGGCAGCACTTGGCATGGGGAGAGCCTCTTCCTGTTCCTCTGCCTGCCCCAGCTGACTCTCCTCACTGCACCATCCTGGGCTCAGCTGTCAGATTTTGATTAACAAGTGATCCACACCAACACCACACAGGTTCTTCAGTTACAGCTGACTCCTAAAAGGCACATAGTCCAGTAGACTCATGTACGTTATTAGTAGTGCAAGTCCAGCAGAACAAGCAGCTCTTCATCATATATGGCTTCCGCCAAGATACCATAGCACAGTTTCCACTTCATGGCAATTAACACAGTCTTTTCTGTTCAACAACAAGAAGCACTACTGTCACAGACAGATAGGTCTGCATAGTTCGAGAGGTTCTTATTCCAATCGGGAAACCCCAGAAAATTGCTATGCCAAAACATTTTTCCTGTCATTTAAGCATGAATAAAAATAAAATACTTCAGGAATATTCCATAAATGGTTAATCTCCCCTTGGTTTTCTTCCCCCTTATCCCTCCTGAATAAATATAGCAAGCCTAGTAACATGCAGGTCTAGTATCAAGCACATACTAGTGACTTTGAAATTAAATAAAAGTGGGATTGGTTATTGATGGTATTGACGGATACCGATGGATATCTGACAATGCTTCTCTATATATCTAGATTTTTGCAATTTTTGCCATAAATGAAGTACCAACTTGTATTGTTTTATACAGAGAGGTCAAATGCAACTGAACCTTTCTTGTGTACCCTTGTACAGGTTTGAGGAGTATAAAAGATATGAGTAAGAGGGGGAAGATCTGGCAGAACCTAATCCCAAACTGTTTTCTTTGCCTTGTATCTTACCAGGAGAGTCACTGGGGCAGATGCCTGGATTTAATGTGGATTATTTCAAGCCTTTTTTTGAGGAAGCTGCAGGAGCACAGCTATAGTCAAAGAACTTTTCAATGCCATCATCACCAGCAACAGGTATTTACTGAAAAATCAAGTGAACCCTTTTCTAAATATGTAAGTAAAAGACTTGCAGGCTGGTAAAGCATGAGAAGTGGTGTTGCTCAGCAGGCTGGGCACAGGACTGAGTTTGAGATGACCTAGGTTCAGCACTTGGCTGTGCTGTGGACCTGCACCCTTTGACCTTGAGTTTAGGTCCTTCTCTCTTACCCAGCCTCAGTGTTTGTCTAGCTTTGTTATCTGTGGGAATTACTAAAGATGATGAGGTTAAGCATCAAAACTGTAAGTCAAATGAGCTATTGGGGAGGGAATGGAGGGCTGAAATTACCTGTGTTTCTTCTAGCTTTGCTGCTGTCCTTCCAGGTACTGACTCAGTAAAGTCCTCCATGGTCAAGGACTGGACTTGGACTAGACTGGGCAGGTTGCACAGATACAGTGATCCCTGGTAGCCCTGGCTAAATGGGAAGAGTCTAGCCCTTCCGCTGTAGGTCTGTTGGTGGAGCAGGCCCTATTTATTCATGTAGTTGGGTTCAATTGCAAAGTCTTTGCAGCCAGGACTGTTTTCAATCTGGTGGCTCTGCCCAGAATAACAGGAGCAGGATGTCAGTGGGAGCCTCTAGAGCTTCTGTAGCACAAAACCTGATCAGTCCCCAATAGATAATGTTTCCTGTCTCCAGCTTTTAAGGGAGCCTTGTGGGCCAAGCGGATGGAACTCTTCCTCTGTTTTACTGGTTGCGGTCTCCAGTTCAGGCAGGTATAACAGGGAAGAGCCTGTTCTGCTCCCTCAGCTCTGGATGCTCTCCAGATGCCACTGGGGAGACCTGATGGCTCCTGAGAAAGAAAATATGCCCACAAAGGCTCAATGGAGCGATTACCAGCTATCCCACATGTTGGGAAGCCAGTGCTATCTCTGGCTCTGCCCTGATGAAGCTAGGTACCAGCTGGCAAAGGGCCAGGCCTGGGCGAAATGGTCAGGCAGAGTGCAACAAGAGAGCCAGAGGAAGGAAGTGAAGTCAGGCTGTGATCCACACCAGATGCATACTCTAGACCTCATTACCCCCTGACCATGTGCTGCCCTCATCTGCAGCTACAACTGCTGGGAGATGCCAAACATGGCAAGGATCAGGCCCATTCCCAAAGCTCTCTTTAGCCCTTTCCGCAGGACCCTGTGCTGGCTAAATGGGTAACACAGAAATCTCCCTCCATGTCCAGATACAGTGTAGTGTTGAAGCATGGTGATTTGTAGAGACTGGTATGATCCCTCCTGGTCTTGGTGGACAGCCAAGGCTGAAAATGTTGGGTGGGTAGCAATCACAGAAAAATATTTGCATTGTTTATGAGCATTTGAAGAGTCATGGGGTTTAAAGGATATACCCACCCAGTAGAACCAGTAAGTAGTTGCTTAAGACAGTCTACTGCTGGGACAACCAAATCATGGCTTCAGGGAAAAGAGGGGAGAAGATCCTGTTCCCTGCTGGCAGCAGCCTTCCCTCTGTCTTGAAATCCTACAGGACCAGGAAGACTTGGGCTCCGATCCTAGGATCATGGTTGAGGAAAGATGAGGTGAGCTCAGAGAGGTGGCTCCACAGGAGCTTCTGACACCAGGAGATGAGGTGAAAGAGCTGGAGCTTGGCTTTGATATGACTCTTAGTAGCACTGATTTGTTCAAAGAAGTAGCAGTTGGAAGAGAAGGGAGCAGAGCAGACACAGCTGTGGGGTAGGAGGCCAAAGAAGAAAGAGGCAAGACAAGGGAAGACCACTGCTAGGACACTAATTCAGCCAAGACAGCTGCACATCTCCTGGTGTGTTGTTTTGTTTTTTTTAAATCGATTTTTATACTAACAGACAAGCTCATTTTTATTTTTTTTTAATGTTTCTCTAGTTCTGAGTCATTTCCTGGGGGGCTGGAAGAAAGCAGCATTTTTCTCAAACCTTTAAAACAAAGTTTTAGGGTTTGGGTTGAGCGTCCTTTGTTTCTTTCCTTTCAGTGAAACAGCTACATTTGAAAACTGTAGCTTGAAAACCAAACCCAAAGGTTGACAACCCCAAAACTTCTGCCAGAGTTGCTCTTTGCTCACAGAAATGGGTGTCCATATTGAGTAGGCCAAAGCAGCATACAGGGTGAAAGATGAGACCTGCCGAAGCAGCCCGGCAGCAGATGGCTGTGTCATCATATTCACCAGCAGAGGTTGATGCTTTTCCCAGCTCCTACACACGTCACTGGTGTTGGTGTCTGTCTGCTCAGCAGCATGCTGACCTTTCTTTTGGTTTACACATCAAAACGGACTGCTTTGGCTGTGGTTTCTAGCTCAGTAAACCACAGGCATTTGCACTGTAGTGGACGTAGCTGGCTATAGCCTCCAAAGCACCATGTATTAGTAGATGCTGTGGTCTGGAGAAGCCTGGTGTGAAACAATGGTGAGTCTGGATCATTTTTTTGCCAGAAAGCTGGAAGTACAAAGTGTTAGTTAGGTCTTTGACTAATAAAAGTGGACATCTGCAATCAAGCTAATGTGCTAGAGGCTGGAGCCTAATTGAAACCAAAGAAGCAAAGGGGCTGCCAGCCTCAGAGCAGCACACATTGACAATTAAGAGATGCTTTGGCTTTTTGAAAATAAACTGCAAATAATCACCTTTAAGGAGAAGTCATATCACCCATGAGGCTCCCAAGCACCAGTTCTGTCCTGTCTTGCCTGTGGATTTGGGACAGAAGAACTACCAGCAATGGTGAAACGAATGGCAAAAACCTTCACTCCCACATCAGTGGGTCCTGGACTCATGTTGTGGCCTTTTTTATTACAAATGTCCTGTAGTACTTGGTGTCCAGAATGTTTTACACCTAGTTTCTTGACAGAGAAGGAAGAAAATACACATTTTCAGAGTTATTGCTTGTACGTCACACAGTTGGCATGAGAAGGACCATTGCTCTTGCTTAGGCGTTGGTGTAATTAAGCAGGAAGTCAGAGGCAGTGCAGTTACCTCAGATCCAGAGAGGCTTATCTCACTGCAATATTTAGCCAGTTATCCTCCCTAAATAGTATGCAATGAAGCCGGTAGTGGGAGAAAACTTTTAAAGGTATGCTCAGTGATACAGTGAATATGGCAGAAAAATACAAAAGGTATGCTGCGACCATGCACAAAGCAAACTTGATCCTGCCTCTACCCCCAGTTTGTCATGACTGTCTTTCATGGCACTGATGCTTGCTAGGATCCTTAGCACTTCATGATGTGCAGTAACACCTGGAATTAAATGCTAGCCTGAAGCCCTAACCCTTGAAAGCCAACAAGCACATGGTCAACATCAGGCACCTGTAAAATACAGCCTGGCTGTTGGAAACAGCTTAATTTCTTATTCACAACAGATTGTATTAACCCATTCTCAACTAAATTGGCAAGAGGCAGTGATGTGATGTTTTAAAACAAAAGGAAGCAAGCGGATACTGGTGACTAATTTCCTCCAAACAGCATCATGTGGGTCATCTTCCTCACATCTTGTTTGTTCTGCTGATTAGTCTTTAGGTAGATATTCATATATCAACTATTATTTTTCCTCTGTGAATTGTGGTTTTCTGCCCTGCTGCAAGTTCAGTTTCCAGTGTAACTGGGAAGCCAACTGCTTTCTAACTACGCAAAAGATGAACTGTGTTTCCTGCAACTTCAACGTCTCTAATGCTAGTGGTTGAGTAATAGCTGGACACAACAGTGTCTTCTGTAAGGAAATATGCCAACAGTTGTTGCTTAGAACTGAATAAAAGTTACTCTTTTTTTTATAGTAAAAAAAAAAAGTGTTTTGAATGATTTGAAGCTGCAATAACAGTCCTTTCCAGTCAAAGCTTACTCTTCACAACAACAGGATGCACTGCTCTATTTAAGCAAGTAATAATATTGGTTTTAGTCACTACACACACTTTGCTTCCTGTTGGGGGTATTGCACAGAAAACTAGTTCATTGAGTACCAGATAACTAATTCATTGCTTATTTACAGATTTTATATACAGAGATGTTTTCCAATACCATCTGTGTGTAAAGAAAATGTATCTTTGCAATAAGCTAGCATGATCTGTTTATTGGCTGTATGAGCTACAACGAAATTAAGGAGAGCAGCCTCTACAAGTCTGTGTTACTTTGTTAGGATTAACAAGGCTGTGTGTATTTAGGGTCTCTATGCTTCTGACTTACAGTCAGAAAAACTGACTGTCACAAAATGTTCATTCTGGTTGCACAAGACCTTTCACCCAAAAACTCCCAGTTGCTTAAAAGGCAATTACTGGGAGCAATGGCAAGATCTAGCCTAAGGGCTTCTGCATTTGCCCCCTGCTAATGATCTGCTGGAATTCTGTCATCTCACAAAACATGAGCACAGCAGCAGTAATTCTAATGTCTGTCGTTGCTTCCTTACTTATATTAACAGTTTATTTCATGGCTGACTTCCCGTCTTGCTAAGTTAGTTTCTCCATGTCAGGCTGTACTAATGAACAGAGAACAGATTCTGACCTCTCTCTTTTCCAGGGGAAAAAAACACAAGCTCAGCTGAAGTCAATGGAGCTGCTCTGCTTTGACCCGGGTGTAAGGAGGATAAGCAGGATCCTCATCTGCCTTCAGGTAAATGCCCTGGGGGTTTTCTTTCAGCCAAGCAAATGCTGCTGCTGACATTCTCCTAGAAGCAATTAACATTTCAATCATCTTCGTATTTCAGCAATGCAGTTCCTGTCATAGCGCTGAAGCAATAAGACATGACAGGCAATGCCCCATGCCTCCAAACTGAGAGGCTGTAATGACATCCCGAGGACTTCCCTTAAGGTGGAGGATAGGCTGGACCACCTTTAGAGAGACACTGGGGAAGGAGACTCTTATCAAAGCTGGTGACAACTTTTAGCATGCATAGGTAAACGAAGGCTGTGCTGTGGTTTCTAGATTTTTAGAGAAATGTATATTTTTTTATCTATCTGTATGTCAGTGGAGAGTGTTTAATCAGAACACTATCATCATTTGCAGATCCAGGGTTTTATTCATCATCTGAAGTCAGACTGAACATCTGTCAGCCCAGACAATTGTTTTAACATCTTCCTGCTGAGCTAGCCACTGCTGGGAAGAGGAAGGTGGTGTTAAGACACCATCTAACCCTAAGAGACACATTTCCTTGTCAGTGTAAATAGGGAGCCTCCTTTCAGTCCAGCAGAGTTAGAAATAAAACTGTGATCAGAATGGACCGTGCTTTTCCCCAGTGCCAAAATGGGAACTGGGTCACACTAAATAGTGCACATAAAGGGGAAAAGAGGCTCAAGGGGAACGTTGTCACTGAACTTCACCTTTATCCTCTTGTCACATGAATTACGGTCCCTGAACACTTCAGCTCAAACCATGTTTAGCTCCTTTATCTCTTACACCCCTTCACCATCCTGTTTGTTCCTTTGGCCAGGTCTTTCACTGCAGTTAATTGACCTGGTTTCACTGATTTCTGTGAAGATTGGCCAAGCCTCTCAAGCTGGAGAAGTGGGTCACCATGCACCATGTACACCAGGGCTTTGGGGGGAGGTTGCCTTGAGTCCCTCTTAACTGAGGAGCCTTTTTGCTGACACGTGAAGCTGCATTTTCTCCTCTATTTCACCAGACTATGATGCTTCCGTAGAAGGAACGCCTGGGAAGTGGTGTGAGGAAAAGGAGGGTCTGGTGACTCAACATCTGTGCAAACCCTACATATGTTGGTTCAGATAAATTGAAGTCCAGACTTCTTCAGTTTGAGAAGCTTCAAACAGAAAACAAAACCAGCAGATTGTAGCTCCCCAATGAAGGGGTTATTGCCAAACGGATGCGCTGCATCAAGCACTTACAAGAAACAAACTTATCCAAGAGGGAAGAATAATCCTTCTGTTAAAATTACTGCAAACAAAACTGTGAATGTTGCCATCGCTGTTGAAATTTGACAGAATGGAATTTCCACCCCTCAAAAAACTGCATTCTGTCCAAAGTGGGAAGCAGAAAGCTTTTTATTTAATTTAAAAAAAAAAAAAAAATAAAAGAAGCTACAGGATCTACCCTTCAAACCCACTTTCTTTTTAGACCAGGCTAAAATTACACTTAGAGTTGTATTAATTAAGTTAAATGATCAGCTCTGAAGAGACCCAGTCCAGAAAAACAGGAAAGTAACTTAGTGGACAATTTTATTCATTGCAATGGAAGTACTGGACTGTTTCAAGCTAAGCACCAGATTAAGTACTTAAGCAGTTCAGAGCCAAAATTCATCTAATTTCTGTAAGATAAAAACCAATCCCATTTCAGTGCAACTAGTGTGTTTTATCAGCTTCCTTTTGAAATATAGACCATAATACCAATTTGTGAAACAGACACCTCCCAGGCTGAATCACAGAGATGCTTGGAAATGGTAGTGATATTTGCTACAAAACAAAGGATCCCAATGAAAATTATGTGTTTCACACAGGAAGTTTTCCAGTGTCTTCCTGAACTTGTCAGACCTTCCTCTTTTGCTTTTCAACTCTGCAATGCAAGGTGGTAATGGCTATGGTTAGACTGAAAAAGGATGGCTAAGTGGAGCAGCAGACACTTAGAGCTACCTACCACTCTTGGTTCACCTATTCACCAGTGCCTTCACTACAGGATGTACCTTTGGTGACAGTAAGAAGCTAGCAAGCCCCTGGTCTAGAATGCAGCTCTGGCATTTAACATGATCACTGAAAGCCTTGCTGGTGCAAATCAGGCTGACTCAGAGGTGTCTTCTCTTGATAATCAGTGCACACAGATCAGTCAGCCTGGTCACTGCTCTGAAGGGCTGCGAGGCGTCATGTCCTATGGTATTTGTAGAATCCAGTCTTTATTACTTGCTAACAGACTTAAGCACTAAACTTGTTTTACTACTGAATGACGTGAAAGCAGTGAGATATTCATATTCTCTGGTTGTGGGAGAGTAAGGAATGTGTCCTTAGCTGTAGGACGGTGCTCAGCAAATCGTGATGGTCACAGAATTGTTCCAATTACACCATCAGTATATCTATGATTAATACGCGAAAGCCAAGGCAGGCAAACATATGCTTTGGGTTTTATCTTCTGCACAAACCTCTAATCTTTCCTCAGGATATTACCACGTAGTTTATCAGGACCTTGGCACTAATTTTTAAAACCTCAAGATTTCAGCCAAAAAGATCTGGCCATTTACTGTTTTTCTTTCTTATAAAGGCAGTTGTTGTGGTTACCTCATTAACTATTTAGCATCCTGCAATCAGCTTAGCTTGGCAAAACCTCAGCATTGTAAACCCTGAAGGGAAAATATCACTGCTCTCCCTAACTGATACATTTTGGTTAGTAGAGATTTAAAAACAACAGTAACAAACCCTTAATAAGATATGGTTGGCTAGAAGATACAAAATAACTATTAAGCTGATTTACATCTGTTTCCTTTTGCATTTATTTTGCCTTATCTAATTGCATACTTAACATTAATCTACTATCACAGTAACTTGGATTATTCTGTTTCTGTGTTTAGCCTCCATGTCACTGTCACTGAATTTCATTACTGCTACTTCACTAGCAAATAATGAGTGTCTTTTCAGTTATATACCAGACTCCTTCAGTCAAAGTGATTAGCAGAACGTCTCTTTAAAAACCTCTGTCAGACAGAGGTATGAAGAATGACTGTGCTAGCTCTAGTCAGTTCTGTATTGCCAGGGAGTTCAGATGTGTAGAGTCTGGCAATTATATATAAAGTAGGATGATATTCTGAAAAAATGGGGGGCAAATCTGTGGAAAGCTTTGTATGCTTCAGAAAAAAATCCCATCTTTTGAGCAAGCACATTTCCCTTAAAGTGCTTCATATATAACAGTGAATGTTGCACAGCAGGTTCAGCAAAAAAGGGAGAAAATTAATATACTTTTTAGTAGGATTGTAAATAATTTTGGGTGGTTTTTTTTTTTTTTTCCCTTTTCTGGCAAAGTTGAGTCAAAAATATGGTAAATGTTCTTTCCCTTTAAAGAAATGTGAGAGGCTCTTCTACTCATCATTTTTCAATGTTGAGGTGCAAAGGGCTCACTCATGGGGTATGGGCTGGGGTAGGATTGGCATTTTGCCACACAGCAGAGCACTTGCCCACCCACAGCAGTATAAGGAGCTCTCAAGGAGACCCTCTTAGCCATCCTGGCTGGCCAACATCTGTGGCAGGATGTGTCATCTAAAGACAAAATGGGGCCTGAAAATAAGAATATTAAGTGCTTCCTGAAAAGGGAGGGCTGACCTGAGCATGGCCCCTGTACTCAGTGTTGTGTTTGTTTGCAACTCTGCAGGTGCCAAGTGTGTTGATCATATTAGAAGAGGATAAACGCAACCTGATGAGGACAACTGCGATGTTCTGCGTGTTGGTGAGAATAATCAATTGCAAAGAAATGGAGTGCAGAGCCAGCAGAGCGAGCAGCAGTTGGCTGAAAAGGTATTGGGGTTGGAGTGGACTGCATGCTCAAGGCCAGCAGTGTCATGCAGCTCTTCATAACAAAAAAAAAAAGAGTAAAAAAAGGCAAACATCATACTGGGATAGATCAGTGAAAGTGTGGTCTGTAAGATGCGAGATCATCCTACTATTCCACTCAGCATGAGTAAGGCCACAGCTGGGGTGCTATATTGATCCTGGGCTATGCACTTGAGGACAGTTGTGGTCAGCTTAAGAGGTGAAGAACAGGGATGACTCAGAAAGAGAAGTGACAATGAAAAGTTGAAGGAACATCTGAAGAAATGACTGACAGAGGCAGTGACAAATCTGTAAATAGCTGCTATGAAGATGAAAAGAGACTAATCTTAATGACAATTGCAGGAAGGGTAGTAGTGGTGGGCCTAAATAGTAGAAACATATAGCTTGGAAATTAGAAGAATTGCCAATAGGAATAATGGAGGCACAATGGAATGAGCTGTCTGAGGTTGCCCCACTAGATGTATTTAAGAACAGGTTAAAACATGTTAGTTAAACATTGCATGGGTTTGCCTCCAAGCAAGACTGGGAGACCTCCTAAAAGGTCACTTGTTCCTATTTTTTTAAGCTTCTGTTCTTGGCTGTAATTGTACTGTTTTTTTTTTAAATATTAGGGAGCAAAAGACTTTTAAGTTCCCCTAGATGATGAACATCAGGGTTTGATCTTTCAGAAACCACAATGACTAAAAGCCATGTGTGGGAATTCCATTTGCCAGCAAAATGACTGAGAGCAGGACACTCTCTCTGTGAAGTGCCACCTCTTCTCCTCTCAGAATGTGTCGAGCTAAAAAGTGCAATATTTGGTTTCAAGTAATGGCAACAGTTGCAGAGAGCTGGTGAGGAACATAAGCCAGAATGTGTCATTTCTGCTGCCTCCACTTGCTCTTCTCATAGAGAGGAGCATCTCTGCTCATTTTCTCTTCCCATGAACAGCTGCTTTTCCCATTGGTCCCACATGCCCAATCCATTCAGCCAGCGCTGCATACAGAGTACACTTGCACTTTCAGCAGCAGTTTTGGTAGCTTCATCTCTTCCCTCCAGATTCATTTTTGCCAGCATCTAGTGACAAGCAAAGTAACCCCCAGTAGCACCATGAGAGAAGAAGAGGGAGTATGTTCCACAGTTCAGTTCCCTGCTTCCTTATGCACTGATAAAAGCATGTTGCCAGAACACAGGTTTTATCCTGGCTTTCTAGGGAGAACAGGGAGATAACAGCTTAAAGAGCAGGAAGGGAGGAGCAGGTAATGCTTGAGAATTGGGTGATCTGGTTTCCAGCCTCAAAGGCACACTCCAGGTGAAAACATGGGACCTGCTTTTTAGATTTACAACTCTTTCAGTCAGTCCAGGGATGGTCTCAGACCAATGGCATTTTTTGTTTGTATGATTTGAAAAAAACAAGTTTGAATGATGTTGAGAGAAAAAAATCGATCCACCTCCAATAAGGAATAAAAAAACCCCACCCTTTACACTTCTGTACTTGAACTTTTAACAAATTAAACAGAGAAAGAAATTCAAGCTGACTGTTAGAAGTTTATTCCAGCTGAAGAATATGTTTCAGAGTTTGGATGTGAAAACTGTCTTCATTTGACAGACAGCTGGAAGGGTACACATACTTCAATAAAGCACTGCTGATTTCTGACAGGTGACTGCATAAGCCTAAATATACCTTTCTATTTTAATTACATGACCAGTACTCATGAATGGGAGCTTGAGCTTTATCTCCACTGACCCTGAAAATCACCTGGAGGTTTATGATGAAATGAAGCACATGTTTTCTGTGTTTTTTTGTTTTTGTTTTTGTTTTTTTTTTCCTGGAAAATAAGGAAACACAAAAAACTTGTTCTAGTTTTTATTTTTTCAGGAAACAATGTGATACACCATCACAGCTTCACTATTGCAAGAAAATTTGGAGGTTCTCCACTTTGGTTTCTGTGACATACATGAGATTTGGCAGTTGTACACAGATACTTAGATCAAGATTCCATACATGACAGCCTCTGCCCTGAACATCTGCATGAGTATACACCACACGAGCAGTAATTCTGGCTCCTGCTGATAAATCAGATCATCTTAATAGATGAATTATTGCAATGAATGAAAATTCTGTCTACACCTCTGTCACATTAATGACTGTAGTGGTGCCCAAACACACAAAAAAGCTTTTAATTCATAGCTTGATTATGGGTCTAGCCACAGTGATACAGAGCTCTGGCTCTGTGCAGGTTTTGTCTGGGAGCAATGCCTCAGTGCTTACTCCAGTTTCAGACCTGAACAAAGGCACTTGTTATAGACTGATAGAGGTCCTAAAAAGTCTTTACAGTGTGTATGCTACATGCACACTAAATGCGTGGATAGTAGTGGAGTGTGGATCAGCTTTCTCTGAAGGTCATCACGACTGCTGGGAGCCCACAGGAAGCCAGGGATCCTAGTGAACATCCTGGATGTATCAGCAGAACAAAAATTCTCACAAAGGGATAGGATGGAAAATGGTGGACAAGGGACAAGGACATGCATGCAAAGAGAAATATAGCTACGCGAATGTGCTCAGCAGGGACCGATTTTCCTTTCACCCCCAATATTAGGTGACTGCATGGTAGGTAGAAAAAGTTATTTTGATGTGGTCTGCTACAGTTAGTATTCCTTTCTTTCCCACCCACCCCCGGGCTTTCTATTGTTTTTGTTTTTGTTTTTTTTCCCTGTTTTTCTCTCTCCCTTATGTACTATCTTCACATCCATGTCTTACCTATTTTTCACAATTCTTTTCCCTAAGGCTTTCACTATGCTTCATCCCAGTTCTTCCCAATACAGCTATGCAGATTTACAAACCCTTTCATTTCCCATGACACTGTTTACATTCACAGGGCAAAAATGAGCCTTTTCTTGCCAGGTTACACAGCCATCCTCCCTGCCACCCCTGAATGGCTCCAGACTGCTGTTCCCTTGAGGACTAAACTAGATTAGGATTTATTAAGCCCTTAGCCCCCAGTTTGAATGATATATGGCCTCAGGCAGTAAGCACTAAGGTGAACGCACACTGCTTCTTTGTAAAGGCACAGTAAACCATGTTACAGAGTGCACTGCCCCAGGCATTTCTAAACTATCTTGTCCTGTGTCAGCAAGATGCCTTAAAAACTCTCTATAGAGCTTTCATTGCTTCATTCTCCCTAGGCTCCCACCCTGTGCATTTCAATACAGTAAGGAAAGGACTCCATCCTTAATTGAAATTCCTTTCATCAGCCCTGATATAGCCTGAACAAAGATACTGACATGAAAAAGCAGTCAAGAACATATCTTTAAAATGTCAATTTGCCAGTGACAGGCATAAAATGCAGTCACTGCAAATCAAGACTCTAAACCCTCATTGTTTATCACAAAGCTGCCACTTCCCCATCTCCCTCCCCACCCTCACATAAGTTTTGATGTTTGTACATCTTTGTTTTCCTTTCCACATTCTTCTCATACTGTATTCACAGCAAATCTGAAGCTAGCTGTGTCTTGATTAAACTCCAGCAAACCTTAGAGAAAGCCCTTTTAAACCCTGAATAGTACCATTTATCTTAGGTTCATACTTCTGAAGAAATTGATCATTCAAGCTCTGTGGGTTTCTCTGCTTTTTTTTTTTTTTTTTTAATTCATTCTGGTAAAGTAATTGATGCACTTTTGTCCATACAGACCTTTTAAGTTTATTGCTACATGGGTTTACATGGGAGGAAATTGCTACGATCTTGCTCAGCTGCAGCAAGAGAAATAAGAAATGAAAAGTTTTTTCCACTGGTACAATGTAGGGAAGGATACACCCAACAGAAAAAAACATAAGCATGGGCCATCTACTGGAAGTTATATTTAGTTTGCTTATCCTGGGTGACTAATGTAGGTGTTACACCTTAAAGTCTTGACCATACAGAGACCGAGGTCTGGGGCTCTGGCTGCTTGTGTGATCGGAAACACGCAACACCTTCTTGAGCTTCAGGGCCAAGCTAAGCATGAGAACTAGCTTAAGCAATTTGCAAAGGAGGCTGCTGTGTTGGACTGCCAAGGATGGATGAAGAGCCATGGCCCCAGTGCCTGCTTTGTTCATGGCAGCATCTTGAAAGGGATGCAGAGTTCACTCTTGCCAACAGGGAGGCTAGTCTCTGCAGGGTGGAGGACCTGTCATATCCAAGAAGTAGCAGTTCCTGCCCTGACTCTCCCTTCCTCCTGGCAACAGAAGGATCAGCAAGGCCAGCCACAGGGGACTCAGCGTCTGGCTCCCCTTCCTTGCTCTATCCCTTCCATCTACTGTTTCCTCTGCAGCAGTGGTTTAGCATTAGCTTGGCATCAGTTTGCTGGGGGCAGCAATATTACATTTTACACACCCATCTGAGAAACCTGAGACTGGCTTTGTGTTTCTGGAGAGCTGTTCACTTTAAAAGATCTTAAGTTATCAACACCTTTTTGTTACTCCTTATTAGTTATAGAAACAGATCAAATTAAGATCTAATTATACAACTAAAGACAAGCAAATAGAAGAATACATGGAAACCACAAGATGCTGCTGGCCAAAGAGCACAAGGCAGGTATAATTTTCAATACCTGATTCTCTACCAGCTTTGGCTGGTTCAGTTTTTGCAGGTTCTCTCTTGAGGACTCTCTAAACCATCCCCATCATATGATCCCTCTCTTTTTATTAACTCCACTGGCCAATGCTGTGCCAGTAGCACATCCCATACAACACCTTTAACTTCATTGACAACATTTTCACAGTTTCTCACACAACCTTTCATCTTCTTTTCACTAGCACTAGAGTGGTATCTGTCTCCAGTGAGTTCTTGATGCCACCATCTGTTGCTTGTGCATTGTCTTTTTCAGACACACCACTTCCTGCTACATCTGCTTCTCTTACATTTGGGAAGGTCCCCTTCCATCCCCAGAGCAATTTTTTTCTCTTTCGAATCCTTCCTTCAAGCACACCTTCACCCAGAAACTGCAAATAATGTGACAGCAACTTGGCTGATGACAGTACTGCCAAGTATGCTGATTAATAGTGCTTCATTATTTCCCCACCACCTCATTTTGGTAGACTCCAGTGTGATGCCTCACCTTGTGCTTCAGATGGGGGTGGGGGAGGGGGGATGGGGGGATACTGTATTTCAGTGTTGCTACTGATTTAACATGTTCTAGAAGAACATGTGAGTGGTGTCACTCAGGGATCGGTGCTGGGACCGGTCTTGTTCAACGTCTTTGCCGCTGACATGGACAGTGGGATGGGGTGTGCTCTCAGCAAGTTTGCTGACGACACCAAGCTGTGTGGTTCAGTTGATACGCTGGAGGGAAGGAATGCCATCCAGAGGGACCTCGACACGCTTGTGAGGTGGGCTGATGCCAACCCTATGAAGTTTAACCATGCCAAGTGCAAGGTCCTACACCTGGGTCGGAGCAATCCCAGGCACAGCTACAGGTTGGGCAGAGAAGAGATTCAGAGCAGCCCTGTGGAGAAGGACTTGGGGGCGTTGGTGGATGAGAAAATGAACACGAGCCGGCTGTGTGCGCTTGCAGCCCAGAAAGCCAACCACATCCTGGGCTGCATTAAAAGGAGTATGACCAGCAGGTAGAAGGA